TTTCCGTTGACGTTGAATATTTTTTCGTTTTTGCCCCTATTTACTCTTATTTTCTTCGACTTCTTTAAATGTATACGAATTTGCTTTCCGTTGTTACAAATCTCTATATGTTGCAGGCTCTTCCAATGATATCGGTAATTCCTTTGTTGCAGGTTCGGTTGGTTCTTCCCCTACTAAACAAAATAATCTCTTGTTTGGTACGCGTAATTTATTTGATTGGATGTACAACTGTGGGGCAACTCATCATATGACAGGGTTCCTGGAGTTTATTTCTGATGTTCGTGATATTTCCGCTCGTCCTGTTCAATTGCCTAATGGTTCCTTGACTATGGCTAGCAAGGCTGGGACTGTTTATTTGGGATCTCATATCACTCTTTATGATGTTTTATACGTTCCCAGCCTTCGATGCAATTTGATTTCATTATATCAATTGTTGGATCGATCTGACTGCACCGCTCAGTTTACTAACAAATCTTGTGTTATTCGGGACCACACTTCGCAGAAGGTCATTGGCGCGGGTGAGCAACTTGGAGGTCTCTACTTCTTTCGAGAGACTGTTTCGACGGCAGTTTCTTGTGTTCGAAAAGTTTCTGCCGATGTGTGGCATCAACGTTTGGGTCATCCGTCTGCTCAAGTATTGTCCTAGGTTCCTGTTATTGATTCTAGTTCTCGTAATTTGCATAGATCGTGTGATGCTTGTTTTCGTGCTAAACAACATCGTCGTAGTTTTCCTCTCAGTCAGACTGTTAGTCACGAGATTTTTCATTTGATTCATTGTGATTTGTGGGGTCCGTATCGTGTTCCGTCCTTCTGTGGTGCACGATATTTTTTGACTATTGTGGATGATTGTTCTCGTTGAACATGGGTTTATTTATTGAATGATAAGACGGAGGTTGCTTCCACGTTGCTGAATTTTTTTTCTATCATTAAGCGACAATTTGATAAATTGGTGCGCGTAGTTCATAGTGATAATGGAAGTGAGTTCATGTGTTTTGCCTCTTATTTTCGTCGTCAAGGGATTGTGCATGAGACTTCTTGTGTAGGCACCCCTCAGCAGAATGGGCGTGTAGAACGCAAACATCAACATATTCTGAATGTAGCTCGTGCTTTGCGTTTTCAGGCTCATTTGCCTCTTCCATTTTGGGGTCATTGTGTTTTGACTGCGGTCTATTTGATAAATCGGACTCCTTCCTCGATTTTACATGGTAAAACCCCATATGAGATTCTTTATGGTTCTGCTCCTTCTTTGTCTCATTTGCGGGTTTTTGGTTGTCTTTGTTATGCTCATAACCAAGATCGTAATGGTGACAAGTTTGCTGCTCGGAGTCGTCGTTGTCTATTTGTTGGTTATCCTTTTGGCAAAAAGGGGTGGAGTTTGTATGATTTGGATCGTCAGACTTCCTTTGTTTCTCGTGATGTAGAGTTTCTTGAGGCTGAATTCCCATACCAGTCAGACTCGTCTGAGCCAGATTCTTTGCCACCGCCTCTTGTTGTGCCCGTTTCTTCTACGCCGAATGATGATGAGGATCTTCCGGTTGTTCCTTTGCCTCATGTTTCTCTTGATACTGGGTCTTCTGCTACTGATATGGACACGTCTGACGATAGGGTGGGTTCCATTACCACTACCCCTCCCACTCTTCAAGTGGAGCCCTTGGGTCGTGGTCATCGGACTAAAGTTCCTTCCACTCGGCTGAAGGACTTTGTGGTTGACACTGTCCGGCCCTCAAGTGAACCCCTCATTGTTTCTCCTCAGTCGTCTCCATCCTCCGGTACACCTTATCCCATAGCACATTATGTTTCTTGTGATTCATTCTCTCCAGCTCATCGAGCTTTTTTGGCTGCTATCACCTCTGCTGTTGAGCCTCGCACTTTTGCTGATGCCGTGACTGATCCTCGATGGCGAGCCGCTATGCAGGATGAGATTCGTGCCTTGGAGAATAATGGCACGTGGGATGTAGCTTCTCTTCCATCTGGGAAGCGTGCGATTGGGTGCAAGTGGGTCTTTAAGATCAAGCATAAGTCTGACGGTTCCGTTGAGCGCTATAAAGCGCGTCTGGTGATTTTGGGCAATAATCAGGTGGAAGGTCTTGACTATCACGAGACGTTTGCTCCCGTCGCCAAAATGGTTACAGTCCGGTTATTCTTGGTTGTGGTTGCTGCTAAGCATTGGGAAGTTCACAAGATGGATGTTCATAATGCTTTTTTTCATGGTGATTTGGCTGAGGAGGTTTACATGAAGTTTCCTCCTGGTTTTCGTTCTGGCGTTGATGGGCAAGTTTGCCGTCTTCGTCGTTCCCTCTATGGCTTGAAACAGGCCCCCCGCTGTTGGTTTGCCAAGTTGACTACGGCTTTGAAGCAGTATGGTTTTTGTCAATCCTATCATGATTACTCTCTTTTTACACTGCATCGTGGTCCTGTCCATCTGCAGGTTCTGATCTATGTTGATGACTTTATTGTTTCCGGGAATGACACCACATCCATTGCGGCCTTCAAGAGTTACTTGAGTCGTTGTTTACACATGAAGGATCTTGGATTGCTTAAGTATTTTTTGGGTATCGAGGTTGCCCGGAATTCTTCTGGATTCTTCCTCTGTCAGCGGAAGTATGCTCTTGACATCATAGCTGAGGTCGGATTACTAGGGAGCAAGCCAGCTGATTTTCCATTAGAGCAGAATCATCAGCTATCTCTTGTTGAGGGTGATCTATTGTCTGATCTCGAGCGATATCGTCGTTTAGTCGGACGTCTTATCTATCTGGCAGTGACTCGACCTGAGTTGTCTTATTCGGTGAATATGCTCTCTCAATTTATGCATCAACTGCGTCAGGCTCACTGGGACTCTGCTCTGCGTGTGGTTCGATATTTGAAAAGCTCTCCTGGTCAGGGGATTCATCTTCGTACTGACTGCGATCTTCAACTCTATGCATGGTGTGATTCCGATTGGGCGTCTTGCCCTCTCACTCGGCGCTCTCTTTCTGGTTGGTTTATTCAGCTGGGTCAGTCTCCTGTTTCTTGGCGAACCAAGAAACAACCTACTGTCGCACGCTCTTCTGCTGAGGCTGAATATCGGGCGATGGCTACTACATTGTGTGAGTTGAAGTGGTTGCAGGGACTATTATCTACTCTTGGTGTCGCTCACTCTCAGCCTATGCGGTTATACTGTGACAGTCAGTCTGCACTGTATATTGCGGCAAATCCAGTTTTTCACGAGCGGACTAAGCACATTGAGGTGGATTGTCACTTTGTTCGAGATGCTGTTCTTCAGGGCCTCATTTCTACTACTTATGTTCCTTCTGGGGAACAACTCGCAGACATCTTCACCAAGGCGCTTGGGAAACGCGAATTTGATTTCTTTCTTGGCAAGTTGGGCATTCGAAATCCGCATGCTCCAACTTGAGGGGGGTGTTATTGTGTATATTTATGTAATTACTACATTAGCCTTAGGTTCTCTTTAGGTAACCGTAGCCCTAATTTTGTATATATATATTCATGGTTAATTGAATATTGAATCATCCGATTGAGATGATTAGTTTCTCGAATTCGTCTCGTCTCTTTCGTATCATTCACCATACATTCTTGACCTAACACTCAAGATGATGACAAGTGTCAAATATGATAAGGTTTATATTGCTGTTGTACTATGATGAGCTGGAGAAGAGTGCATGTGCTGCATGGCACCATGCAGTGGCAGCTTTTGCTTCCCAACGGCTTTAGTGCCTTGTTTGGTTGGTGGAGATGCACCATGACTATCAATCATGTACCTGTTTTTTAACAATGCATCAGCTGTCAAAAACCCTAAAGAAGTGTGATTGTTCACTATGTTTGTGCTCCTATATTAGATCATATTCGAAGTCTTTGTGTAGCTTGTAAAATTGAATTATTTGTGGTTTTCTAGTTTTCTTGTTTCTGTTGGACTTTGTCGATCTTTGAGGGAAAGAGTTTTTTCTTTCTCGTAGCCTCTGGGTTGTTGTTGTCATGTCTCAGGGGATTGTGATAATTTGATTATTCGTTGTACTTGTACTTTCGGTTTGAGTTCAAAATTCGTTGGTTTGCCTTGAAAGAAAAAAAATAGACCAGCATCTATTTCGGCTTACATTCGTTGGAAATAATGTCATATTCGTTGTGAAACGGAGAAACTTCACCGAGCAGCTCTGCAGTAGGACTATTTAAAATACTAAGATTCAATTGCGCAGTACAGAAATATGAATTACATTGTCACACTAAAATCATTCACTGAATACAGAGATTCAGTAAAACACAAGAAAAATAATAATCCACAAGCACTGAAAAACCTAATACACAAGTCATTTTAGCTTGTTTTTGCCCACCCAATATGAAAATTTATATATAACTAAGCTAAATTGACCCAGTGCAATTTGACCTCAATTTCACCACACTCAACATTCCTAAGCCTGAGAATCATATGTTGAGTGACTTTGCCATATTCCCAAACAATGTGACTTTCTTCACACAAGCAGTTTTCCCTGTTCGGTTTCACTTTCGCGATCACTGTCCCACTCGGGACAGTCTCCAAGTTCAACTTCACGGCCTCCATAAACTCCTTTATTCCGAACTCGGCATCCCCCATTTTGTCGTCTCGGCTGAATGTGTCGTGATCATATACTTCCTGCAATCAAATCAAACACGTTTCTTAATTGTTGTTCGTGAGGTCGGTTAAAGAAATGAATTTTAGATTGAATTCTTCTGTTTATAAAAACTTACCAACTTGATTGGAATACTTGGATCGGTCACACTTAGTGTAAGTTCTTCGTTCCATTCGGGATTCACATTTTTTTTCACCACGCGAGTCTTTAATTTCTGGTCACTCAATCCAAATTACACCAAAGTAAATAATGTAGCGTTATAAGACAGTGTTCGGTTTGGCCAAAATAGGAAAACTTATGCCAATTACCATACAAGTCAATAAAATTGAACCCAGATGCTGTAGCTAATAATACAATCCGACTAAAGGCACGTCTTATTCTTTCTAGAAGTCGTTAGGCGCCCGCTACGCGCTCGACCAGCGTCCAAAGCCTAGAGCGCCTAGGCGGGGCCTAGAAATTATGATTAAATACCTTATTTTATATTTTTTTTCACTACCTACAAAATAAAACTATCTCAACTTATAATAAATCAGAAAACCTAAGTCAAAATAATAACATTAATATAATAAAGAAAACATGATAACAAAAAAATATAATTTTTATTTTAAAAATATAAAAAAAATTAAAAAAATTTCCACCGAACCCACATAGGAACGCCTAGGTCTGCCTCCGCCGAGTCTGCCTGGTCGCCGGTAGGCGGGCCTAGGCGCCGCCTGGCCGATATTTTCAGTCAATTTATACAAAATCGGAGGCGACCGGGTAGCCTCTAGGCCGATTTTTAGTATAGAGCTTATGCCCTCTTAACTGGCATCCACCATACTAAACCTATCCTAATTAATTATGTAATTACAGCCTCCTAACAACTAATTTCTCAAAAATACAATCGGTTTTGCTATGGAGTTGACTAACCAATAAACATCAATTTACGCAGATTTTTAAGTAACAATAATAATCAACACATGAGTGAAGGAAAAAAGAATAAGAACAGTCAGATGAATACGTTTCGAAACATAATATGAAGCGATCTTTTCCAATTCTCTTTCCCAAAGGAAAAGGAATTACAATCAATCCAGACACACTCTTTTCACAAAGAAAGATCAAAACCAAGATCAAAATAAAGGGAGATTCTACGGTCCCGTTACGGAACTGTTCCGTCGGTGTTTGTAACCGTCAGATCAACTATTCACGACGATTACATGATAATTTAACGGTTTTAAATTCCGACGAAATGATTTCGTAACGGGACTGTAACTTTTCTGCAAAATAAAATAAATATAAAAAAAGAAAAATAAAAAAAAAAAAACCTGCTTGCCCATCCTAACAATCACGTAGGGGTCGCTGCTCCTGGCGTCTCTAACCGCGAGCTTTACCCCTCTCACCACTGTAATTTTCAGCAAACCACAAAGATTTTCCATTGGGCTTTAATTTTTATTTTTTTTCTTTTTTCTCTCTCTCTGTGTGTGTGAGAGCCACAAAGAAGAATGTTTGAAAATGTTGGCTTTGAGAAAATGAATTGGTAAAGGCCAATTGGAGGACAGGGGGAGGCTTTATATTATAAAGGAGTATTAAATATGTAATCTCCTATATATTAATTTCAAAAGTATTTAGCTTAAATAACAGACTCACATTCTTTGCGATTTTATATGTGACAATATTACATGTTTGGTTATTAAACTTGAACAAATTTTAATTTACTTCAAATTAAAAAAATAATTAGATCTGAATCATCCACAAATATGTTGATTATTTATGGTAATATTATATGTATTAATTGCATTCTAATATCATTTATTATTATACCCATTGAATTGTAAATCTATTTTAAAAGTTAATTATATTTGTATTTTTTATCAGTTTGACATATATAGTATATCAAATTAATCATCTCTTGATGATCTTCGATTTAACATTCATATTGTATGTATAAAAAATAAATTATATTTATCTTTATAACAATAATAAAATTATTTTTTAATATTGATAAGAAAAATAATTTTATTTATCAATTAATATATTTATATTTCAAGTAGTTATATGACATAAGTTATAAAAATTACTATAATATAACATATGTAAATCGCAAAAGTAATAGGTTTCATCCTAAACTATATAATAATATATATATTTTGTAAAAAAATAAATAAAATTTAGAATAATTTTAAAATTTAAGAATAAATTGTTAAGGAGCACACGTGTAATACACGGGTGTTGTACTAGTGGGATTGGATTTAATTCAGATTTGTAAATATAATAAGCTAAGATATTTAACTACTTCATATATACAAGAAATTTGTATTCGAATTTTCTAGCTGTTTATTTGTTGGAGGCACATTGTTACCGTGATCAGCTGCAGAATCACCTACCTTGATATTCCTTTGGAGAGTGGGTAGGTTCGTCACTTTTGTCAATCAGTTTAGTCAACTAAAATGGCACAGAAAATTTATAAGACAGGACAATGTAGTTGAGACATGTTTATTTATTTATTTACTAGTACAACACCCGTGTATTACACGGGTGCTTGTCAAAAAATTATTTTTAAATTTTAAAATTAATGAGAAAAATATATTAAATTTAGTTTACTTTTTTACAAAAAAATATATATA